TATATGTAGTGGGTGTGTATGATTAAGATATGATTTGTCCTTCCTACATAATAGGAAATATATCATAGGCCACTTGATTGAGTAATACTAGAAATGCATGGCCATGCTCGAATAAGTTGATATGAGATATCATAAACTATTCGTTAATTAAAGTCTACTCTAGATATCAAGAAACAATAGATGAGCTATACAAATGTGACTATTCCAAGACTTGTGCCTATTCTAGATATAAAGGACATAAGGATGTAATACATAAAAGAGTAATCACCAAGATGATATGTCGAATCATATTTTCTTGTAACTTAGGTGACAATGATATATTGCTAGATGACACTCATTGTATGTAATATTAGAATTATTCTAATAATTACTGCTAACGTTACAAGAACCGAGAAGGTCACACCCTAGGATTGAAACGAGCAAAGATGTATAATTTGTTGTACGTTACTAAAATATATGTTTTAATAATCCCAAATATTTAATGTCAATTAATTAATTAAATATATATTTAATTAATTTGAAATAATAAAATCCCCAATATGATTAGGGTAACTTGGATATAAGAGGATTATTAAATTCCAATTAATTAAATATAGATTTAATTAATTTGAAATAATAAAACCCTAATATGATTAGGGTAACTTGGCTATAAAAGGGTGTGTTAGGTATAGCAGTCGTTTTTGCAACAAACACAAAAACCCCTCAGCCATTTTCTCTCAAAACATTTTTGGGGAAAACAAATATTGCTCTCAATCGGGTGAATTGAGTAGAGGTCGAGACGTGATTTTGTGGAGGCTTTCGATTCGAATGGATCTACACCACTGTATTCACTGTTGTTCTTGCTGTTTTCAAGGAACCCACTGTAAGTATTCGCATCTCTTCTTCCCGATTTCATTTTTTCGTAATTGGATCGCTGGAGAGACCGTCGAGTTTTATTTCCGCTGCGCCATGGGGTGAGCCGATGGTCCCAATAGTGGTATCAGAGCCACTTGTACGATCTGATTTTGGGTTAAATTATTGGTTGATACGATATATATGAGATGCATGTTCTAGTTTTATCGATTTCGGTAAATATGTTGATATCATTGTTCGAATTGATACCCGCAACAATTAATATGTTAATTTGTTAATATGTTTTTCAATCGATTTGTTACTGGATGATCTATGGGAGTGCGATAGCAGATCGCATTTAGTAGTGGAACAATGGTTGTTCCGATGTAGAAAACCTTTGGGATTGAAAATCCCAAAAGAACGATTCTGTTGATAATTTTTATCAAATCGTGAAGTTTTTCCATGGAAACATAAGGCCCATATTAATATTATTTAACAAAGGCGTAACAACGTGTTTATATATATATGATATGTTTGTTTTGCATGGTGTTTGATATGCATGGTTATGGAACTTGTTCAATTCACAATGGTTTATTTTGAAATACGGTCTACGAGCCGTGCCTTTCTATATCTTTGTTGTATTTATTTTCTCATCTTACTCCCTCGTATATAAAATGAGTTTCTTTTAAAATTGTAAATCTATGAAGATTCACAAGGAGCAGAAGAATGGCGAGAAGATGCCTAGAGAGCAGTCTTAGGCTTTAGGGTTTTTGGTTCTCCCATTAGCTTAGGATGGGCTACCTTAGTCATTGGTTTGGGCTATAACCATTGCATCTTATTTATTGCTATATTTGTTATGTATGCAATGCATCAAATGATATAATAAGAATAAATATTGATGAGATCAATAATGGACTAATATTAAAACGAATAATGATGAGATAATTACGCAAATCCCTCTTTATAATCTAAGTTAACTTAACCGTCCAATATTTACCCTCGTTAAGGCTTTGATCAATATTGTGTGGGCTTTGCCAAAGCATAAGCACATAAATCTATATTGGTTAAACACTAAGAATAAGCAAGTGATATTCACCGGTTGAAATATTGGTAATAACTTAGCTAGGTTATTCTAATAGGATTAGAAACCTAGAGGTTAAATATTTGGATAAGTTATGAGATGACTTGAACAAAAGTTGTTCACCAAAATAAGGAGTTACATGAGATGTAACTAGTCAAGTGTTACTTACCTAAATAATCACTATCCTAAAAGAAAAGCCAAAGCTGATTTAGGAAATTGATGTATTATGGATCCTCACCCACTAGAAAAATCTTCGTTGAATTTTTCCGAAATTAAAAGAAAGAGGGTTTTTAAATTTGAATAAAATAGTGGGAGCAATTTGTAAATAAAGTCCTATTTATAAATTTTAATTCGATAAATTTACTTACTTTAATATTTCGATTGTCGTAGATTTAATGGCAAACAATACTTTATCACTGCGATCACTCCATGAGAAGGATAAACTTAATGGCATAAACTTCATTGACTGGTTTCGTATTTTGAGAATTGTTCTCAAACAGGAAAGGAAGGAATATGTCATTGAGGAACATGTTCCTGATGAACTGGCAGATAATGTTTCAAAAGCTGACAAAGACAAATTCATAAAACATATGGATGATATGTTAGATGTTGGATGTCTAATACTTGCCACCATGACTCATGAGCCTCAGAAGCAACATGAGGACATGGTTGCATATGAGATGATTCAAAATCTCAAAGAAATATATAAAGGGAAAGCACGTCAAGAGAGATATGAGACCTCTAAAGCTCTATTTCAATGTAAAATGGCAGAGGGAACTCCTGTAGGAGCTCATGTCATCAAGATGATGGGCTACATCCAAACGTTGGAAAAGCTAGGATTTCCTCTCAAAGATGAATTGGCTACCGATGTTATCCTGCAATCGTTGCTAGATAACTTTAGCCAATTTGTACTTAATTTCAACATGAATGAAATTAACAAAACTTTGCCACAGTTACTTGGCATGTTATGAACTGCTGAAAGTAACATGAAAAAGGTTTGACCTAAGCCCATTCTGTTGGTACACAAGGACAAAGGAAAGGTAATGAAAAAGGTAGTGGCAAAGTTTAAGGGAAATGGTAAGACCAAACCAAAAAGGAAAAATGCATTGAAACCCAAAAGGGGAGTTAGCCTTTCCTTTCATTACTTCCCAATTTACATTGACCGTCGTTATTTCTTTTAGCCCATATACTTGGCAGATTCTGAAAGATCGAAATTAGTTTGTAAAAGAACTTTTTACGAGGGAATGACTAGAAAAGGCATATGGAGCATGTGAGATAAGAAGGGAAGACATAAAAGAGCCATTAAAAGTTTCTCCCTAGTGAAACACGAGTGTTGAGTGATTCAGTGGCAATTATGATTTCTTTGGAGCAAAATTGTGAGAATCTTTGTTTGTGTGTTGTGACGTCTTATATACATTAATTTTTTTTGTGTTGTCTTGTTTTATTTTACAAATATGGCAGGTTCTAGTGATAGCAAACTACATGACCAACCACCAAACTTGAAAATACAAGCCATTACCCTTGAGATACAAAGGATTTTAAGGGTTGAACTTGAGGCTTTACATTATAGAATGGATAATGTTGATAGAGGATCCCAATCTCATCATAATGAAGAGATTAATGATGAAAACGAAATTGATCAGCCTCTGAGACTGAATCAGAGCCATGGGGATGCATTTGATGATAATTTGGCTAACATAAAAGTTGTAATTTCATCTTTTCAGGAACGAACAGATCCTGATGCATATTTGGCATGTGAGAGTAAAGTTGAGCATGTTTTTGAGTGTTATAATTACTCAAAACAAAAGAAGGTTTTTTTGGCAGCAATAGAGTTTGTTGATTACGCTTTCATTTGGTGGGATCAGTAGACGAAGAATCGGTGAGGGTTCAGTGAACACGTTGGTATAAATGAAGCGAGTCATGAGAAAATGGTTTGTTCTATCTCATTATCATCGTGATTTATTTCAGAAATTACAAAACTTGAAAGAGGGTAATCAAATTGTTGAAGATTACTTCAAGGAGATGGAAATGGCCATGATGCGTGCAAATATCGAGGAAGATAAAGAAGCAACTATGGCATGTTTTCATGCAGGTTTGAATTTTGAAGTTGCTAACGTTGTTGAGTTGCAGCATTATGTCGAGTTGGATGACATGGTGCATATAGCGATCAAAATAGAAAGGCAACAACGTAGAAAATCTTCTTTCCAAGGTAATACTCCTTCTAAAGTTTTCTCTAATCCATTATTTACTCCTAACAATGCAAGGAAGCAAACACCACTTAAGGTTAAGGTAAAAACAAAAGCAAGTAGTCCAAAGCCTCCTGTTATTAAAGTTGGACGTGGAAATCATCATATTCAACTAGAACGCACAAGAGACATCCAATGCTTCAAGTGCCTTGGCAGAGGGCATGTTGCAAGTTAGTGTCCTAACCAAAAGACATTGCTGACACATGTTAATGGGGATATAGAGTCCGAATCTGAAGATGATGAGAAAGATACCCCTTTTGTGGATGATGATGAAGATAATGACCAATTACATACTTGTGCAACAGGTGAAGCACTTTTATGAATGGTTTCACAAATAGATATTATTTTATGAATGCATGTAATAAAATCACCTTAGCACCTTTGACACCAACTCAAGTGCAAGAATATCAAATTCGTTTGAAAAAGAACAGTGAAGAAGCAAAAGGGAAGAAAAAGATGAATGTGTATGCAAACAGAAAAGAAATCAGGAAATGTTTTTCCTCTCAGCAGTCTTTACTTATTTTAATGTATAAGGAGCATTGTTTATTGGATGAAATTATCACTAATTTGCCTGTGTCTATTGAATCTCTTTTGTAGGAATTTGAAGATCTGTTTCCCGATGAGACACCGAGTGGATTACCACCTATTCGGGGCATTGAGCATTAGATTGACTTTATTCCGAGAGCTGTTATTCCAAATAGGCCAGCATATCAAAGTAATCCCGAAGAAATGAAAAAAATTCATAAGAAATCATTGAGTTGATGGAGAAGGGTTATATTCGAGAGAGCTTAAGTGTGTGTGAACCATTGTTGTTGGTGCCAAAGAAAAATGGAACGTGGATAATGTATGTCAATTGTCGAGCTGTGAATCATATCACTATCAAGTATCAACATCCTATTCCTTGCCTTGATGATATGCTTGATGAATTATGTGGTGCGGTATCTTCTACAAGGTGGATTTAAAGAGTGGTTATCATCAGATTCGAATGCGAGAAGGCAATGAATAGAAGACAACCTTCAAAATGAAATTGGGTTTGTATGAATGGTTAGTGATGCCTTTTGGTTTAACTAATGAACCTATTACGTTCATACAGCTAATGAATCGTGTTTTGTGACCTTATATTGGAAAGTACAATGTTGTGTATTTTGATGGCATTCTTATCTACAACATGTCGTTACAGGAACATGAGGAGCATTTGAGAAATGTTCTTGGCACATTGAGAAGAGAAAGGTTGTTCGGTAATTTACAGAAATGTGTATTTTCTACTGACAAGCTTACATTCCTTGGTTTCATTATTAGTGCCCAGGGTGTAGAAGTCGATCCTGAAAAAGTAAAGGCAATTTAGGAATGCCTCGACCGACGTCGATAAGTCAGGTTAGATCTTTTCATGGTTTAGCTAGTTTTTATCGTCGGTTCGTACCTAATTTCAGTTCCATTACTACACCTTTAACCGGGATTATAAAAAGAATTTTATCTTCAATTGGGGTAATGAACAGGAGGAATCTTTTTTAAAAATAAAGGATTGTTTTACTAAGGCACCAGTGTTAGTCTTGCCTAATTTTGATAAAATGTTCGAGATTGAGTGTGATGCTTCAGGTATAGGAATTGGAGCAGTCTTGTCGCATGAAAAGCAACCTATTGCCTACTTCAGTGACAAGTTGAGTGGTGCCACTTTAAAATATCCAGTTTAGGATAAGGAGATGTATGCATTTGTTCGAGCACTTAATATGTGGAAGCACTATCTTTTACCAAAAGAGTTTGTGATTCACACCGATCATGAGCCATTGAAACACATTATAGGTCAACATAAATTGAATAAAAGGCATGCTAAGTGGGTTGAATTTCTGGAGTCTTTTCCTTATGTCATTTGATATAAAAAGGGTAAAGACAATGTTGAAGCAGATGCCTTATCCACAGGTATGTAATTCTGAATTATTTGGATTCTCATTTGATTGTTTTTGGTTATATTAAAGATTTATATGCCATTGACCCCGATTTTGGTGAAAGATATATGTCATGTGAAAAAGGTACATACAAGAAGTTTTATAGATATGATGGCTATCTTTTCAAAGAAGGAAGAATTTGCATTCCTCAAGGGTCAATTCAAGAAGTCCTTGTTCAAGAAGCACATTAAGGTGGACTCATGGGACATTTTGGAGTTCCTAAGACGTTGCACATTCTGAATGAGCATATATTCTAACCTAAGATGTGCAGGGACGTTAAAATAATATGTAAACGTTGTGTAATATGTAAGAAAGCAAAATCGAAGGTTCTACCACACGATATATATTTTCCTTTACCTATTTCTGATTCGTCTTGGATGGATATTTCGATGGATTTTGTGTTGGTATTGCCTAGAACTAGGACAGGTAGAGATAATATCTTTGTTATGGTTGATAGGTTTTCAAAGATGGCACATTTCATTGCGTGTCATAAAACTAATGATGCGACTAATGTGGCCAACTTGTTTTTCAAGGAGATTGTTCATTTACATGAAATTCATAGGTCTATTGTTTTTGACAGGGATGTTAAGTTTTTTAGTCATTTCTGGAGGACTCTTTCGTGCAAATTGGGAATGAAACTGATGTTTTCCTCTACTTGTCACCCTCAAATTGATGGACAAACTGATGTTGTAAATCAAGTTTTATCTACTTTATTACGTTTCATCATTAAAAAGAACATTAAGACATAGGAAGATTGTTTACCGCATGTTGAGTTTGCCTATAACCATTATGTTCATTTTGCTACTAAATTTTCACCATTTGAGATTGTTTATAGCTTAATCCTTTAACTCCTATGGATTTGTTGCCATTGCCTTAAGAACAAGTTCTGAACAGAGACGAAAAGTCTAAGGCAGACTATGTGAAAAGGTTGAATCAACAGGTTAAGGAAAATCTAGAGTGGAGGACTCAACAGTACGAAAAGTAAGCAAATAATGGTAGTAAGCGAGTTACCTTCAATGTTGGAGATTGGGTTTGGGTTTATTTTTTAAAGGAACGTTTTCCAGTCCAACGACGTTTTAAGTTGTTACCACGAGGAGATGGTCCGTTTCAAGTGTTGGAGAAAGTGAACGATAACGCTTATAAATTGGACTTACCGGGTGAATTCAACGTAAGTGCTACATTTAAAATTTATGACTTATCCCCTTATGATGTTTCTATAGATTTGAGGTTAAATCTTTTTCAAGAAGGGGGGATGACGTGAGCACATCTATGCCAGCAAATGAAGCTGATCTAGAGGTCTTACCAATAGGACCTATCACACGTTCTAAGGCAAAGAATTTCAGGCAAGTTCTTTCTCTTAAGTGTTTACAAATTTCTGAATTATTTCATAATGTTTATGCCTTAGAAACGAAGCATTTTAATATGTTACATATTGATGTGTAACGCTACCTTAGTTATACTAAGTACTTATATGAATAATTGATGTTTCCACATCTTTACTTAGCTTTATATTATGTTTACATATGTTTTAGATTAATTTATTCTCTTTGCATATCATTTATATAATGGCAGCATATCTATCATTAATTAGCTCACATGCATTCATTTAAGCTAAGCATGATTCATCATATTTAAATAATGGCAGCATACTTATTATTTATTCATGAACTTGAGCATTGTAACTTATATACATTTTGTATTTCGTGCAAGGTACGTTCAAGGCCATCCAGTGGATAGTTCACGTCACTCATATTTATCGCCACTTTTGAACCTGTTCCAAGAAACTTTGGGCGATGAAGTGTGCTTAACATTTAATCTCCTATCTCTTATCATTCCAACGTACTTTGAATCGTATCATATTTGATATTGGGAGTTCAAGATATGCCCAGATTACTTAAGACGGTGTAGGCTAGAAATAAATACGGGATTTATAACAATTCATCCATAGAAGACATATACAACTCATTGGAGCATGATACATATTGGGACAGCTTGATGAAGCATTTGAAAGACACATACAGTTTAGTGGAGCATTTTAGAAGACAAACAGCTTGTTGGAGCTTTTGGGAGACACAAACAGCTCACAAACAGCTTACAAATAATTTGAATAGCTAGTGGAACACTAAGGAGAACTCAATGCTAGCTAATCACCACCAGCCTTGTTTGCTAACTAGACACCCACTCAATCAAGCTCATACACTTCCAAGTCATGTTGCATATGACCAACAAACCAACAACCATTTATTCATGTTAATTAAGTATTAAATTATGTCTTTGAGGGAGGACAAGGTCTGGCCAAATACCATTCGGCTATACCCCTTTAAAATTCTGTAAATAGGCTTTCCTATTTCATTTTTAATGAGACATTTTTATGCATAAAAATTATTGTGAGTTATTCTCTCAATGTTGGTTCTTCTTAGAACTACATTCTTGACATTTCAAGTATGATCTTGTTGTGTTAAGCTTGTTATACTTCAGGTTCTTAGATTGCTATCTAACATGTCCATGTCCTTTGAACATTAAACGTATAAGGTTTGGGTTTATACTTTTTAGTATAAGTTATTTCTTGTTCTTTGTTTGTTAACAAAAATTTCCAGTTTTGTTATTTCACCATTATCATCTTCTCCGAGCACTCATCTTCCATCTTCCATTCCAGCAACTTAATTCCTTCTTTTCTTTATCCTATTTTTATCATTTTCTTAGCCATTTTTGCCCATAGCCTTAACTATACAACCCTCCATCATCCTTACTTTTAAGTAAGTTTGCTATAAAAGAATTACTTACTTCGTTCTAGATCCGTTACAATCAAAGAGGTCTTCAATCAATAGGATGTCTCATATCAGGTTGCTTCCCTATCTTCATTTACATTGGCTCGAATCATGTTTGTCTCCATTTTCTTGAAATAATCTTCAACGCTCATGTTTCTTTGTTTAAGATTTTGAAACTTATGATAAATATCTCGGTGATAGTGAGTAGGCACGAACCGTTTCCTCATAATGGCCTTTATTTCTTCCCAAGTATTGATTGGGCATTCACCATTTCTTCTTCTTGAACTTACTAATTGATCCCACTAAACTATGGTGTAGTCCATAAATTCCATAGCAGTAAGCCTTACTGTCTTTTGCTCCATGTAGTTTTGCCATTCAAAAGTATGTTTGATCTTGATTACCCAGTCATTATATGCTTCGGGATCAGTTCGTCCTAGAAATAGAGGAATGGTTACCTTAATGTTGTTGAAGCTTTAATTTTGATGTCTATGGACATATATTCTTGCTCCTAGGGTTATTTTCTCTACTTCAGCCTCATCCTTAAATTCTTCTTCCATTCTCGGGCGAATTATCCTTCGGTAGCCCAAAGGTGCTTCACATTGATCCATTCAATCATGCAAGGGCTCCAACTCTAGTTTCAACAATCTTGTCATCTCATGCATAATTGCTTGAGTTTGTAAGTTAGGGGCTTCTATTTTAGGGGTTCGTCCTGGCCTCTGAGACATGATTAGTGAAATAAGAAAAGAAAATGTGTAAAAGACCTTACCAAATAATGCTCTCATAAAGCCTCAGAGTTCATTCCAAGGAAACTTGAATGTCACTCAATCCGCTCGTGTTTGCAGTCTAGGACTTCAAGGATTTTACTAGTCCTCTTATAGTCTCCCACGCTTAAGCCTTTTTCCTCTCAATCTCTTTATCTCAAGTTCTAAGTAACTTTACTCAAAACTGTACCAAGTAAAGTTTACTTGTTGTGCGTCAGCTGCAAAAGGGTAAGTAGGAATGGAAATCAAAATATAATGAAAAAGGTGGCTTAGAAACAAGAAAGAAGAAAATAAAGGGGTTACTTACATAAAGTCACTTCATAACCCTTCTATCACCACAATCAATTTTAAAGGCTTACTTGAATGGCTTGGTGATGAGACTTGTTGTTGTGTGCTTTTCAACTTTTCTTGCTTTTCTTTCCTTTTTTTCTTTTTGTTTTATTCTTTTGAGTGCTTGTAATTTTCTATGCAAATTCTTGATTTCTTTCACTTGCTCTTCTTTTTTTTGTATTTTGTTGTTGTTGTTGCACGTTGCTTCCTCCACCAAAGCTCTGAATACCGCATGATTTAAGGTACTCCTACCTTTTAATTGATTGTGGATCTAGGAAGAAAGCAAAACAACCTGCACAAGTGAATGGCTCAATTAGATGGTTTGGTGGTAGATGTAAAGGTGAAATGGTAGGCTTATTTTTGTTATAAGAAATGGTAGCAGAAGTATGTTGTTATGGCTATGGTATGGGTGATAAAACAATGGAAGGTTAGTGAGGATAGTATCTTAGAAATTATCAAGGAAGAACCAGTGCTATAAAGAGCAAAGACCCAGCCTTACAAATCTTTTCTAACGGGTGGTAACAAGGATTTGACCCACTAACTATAGGGAGATAAGAACCACAAGTATCAAGGGAAGAAGGGGTTGACGCCACAAGTAAATAAATTACTTGATAAGTCGATAAAAGTAACAAGAACTTGAGAAAAGAGAATAATCTCACTTATATTAAAATTAAAGATGTGTTTACAAATGAATAAGGTTAGCCTATTTATAGTTTTTGAAGGGACTTGGCCGAATGGATACATAGTGCTTTAGCCAGCCCTTGTGTCATTCTAAAATAAAATAATTAATTAATATTCAAATATATGTTCTAGTTTGGTTGGTAAGGGGAGTGTTAATCCTTGGCAGAATAGTGCTTGAATTCCTTCAAGTTGGCACCAATTTAGAGGAGAAATGATGCTTGGTCGAATGGTTTTGTGGCCATTCATCTTGGCGCCTAAATGGGGTCACACGCATAGCACATGGTTTGGCTGGTCACAAGGATTGCACATGGTTCTCTAGGAGGCTTGTGGTCTAGCCTAATGCATGGGATGAAGTCCAAGCATGTGCAGTAGCCTTGGGCGTAAGTTTGAGCTATTTTCAGGCTTGCATGCGTCTACCTAGCTAGCAAGACAAGGGCTGGTGGTGAATGGTCCTTTTAGTCATGATATCCCAAGCTTCATATCAGTGCAGTGAGCTATGTTCAGCTCCAATTGATGTCACTTTTAGCAACTTGTCTTCAGATATTCGAAGCTGAGTTGATCTTTCCAAAGTATTCCACGAGTTGCCATGATGTTTGTGAGCTGATTATGAGCTGCATGTGGATCCCAAATACTCTACCAGCTGTCCCAATT